GGCTCCGCGGTACCTGCAAGTTCAGCCATCGCCAGGTAAGTGCAGAAAGCACCTAGCTTTCTTCTTCTTCTTCTTCTTCTTCTTCTTCTTCTCCTCTCCTCTTCTCCTCCTACTCCTCCGGAGTTCTTCTTCTTCTTCTTCTTCTTCTTCTTCTTCTTCTTCTTCTTTATCAGAGTAGAGATAGAGGTAACTGCAGACATTGTTTTGGACACGGCCTTCTGCCTTATTGGACACGACATTCAGATCGGACTTACACTCTACATTGGGATTGAGCTGTGTGCGACATTCGGAGATCAGACTTGGGTTGGACTTGGTTGCCTCTATGTCCCTCCCCCTTCTCTCTCGCATGTCTATGGATCTCTCCCCATGTGTGTGAGCGGAAGGGCAATCTTTCTGGTGTCTTGCCCTTCCGAAGTTTCCCCCTTTTATGTTGTTGTCCACGTGTCCTCTTGATACTAAATCTTCCGCTGTGCTGCTTCTCAGCCTATGATGATGATGATACAAATGTGTTGTTATTGATTTCCCGTTGTTTCACTCCTTGCATCGCGCACATTGACACCTTGTGAATGTTGCACTTATGCTGCTGGTTGTTGCCACTTTCGTCATTGCTAGATCCTAGGTTTCAGTGCATTTCACTTTCTGATATGCTACAGTGGGTGGGTGGATGGGTGGATGGGTGGATGGGTGGATGGGTGGGTGAGTGGGTGAGTGGGTGGGTTGATGGGTGGATGGGTGGATGGGTGGGTGCGTGGGTGCCTGGGTGCGTGGGTGGGTGGATGGGTGGATGGGTGGATGGGTGGAGAAACTAGGAAAATTCTCAACGTCCGAATGAGAGGTGAGCATTTTATTCAGTGGATTCAGTGGAAGATAATAGATATAGAATCTTATAGATTGGAATAACAGGGTAGAGTGAAGAGGAACATTGCAGGACGCTACAAGAAAGACAAACAAGAAGAGAAATGCAATGACGAGAAGGAAAAAGAGGATGCAATTGTGGATAGCGCTGAGTTGTCGCAAGTGTGAGCTCACCACAATGACAAGAAGAAAAAGTTCATCCAGCTGTGCCAGAGCATCCACCAAGAGAGAAATCTCACTCATCTGTAATGAAGTTCGACGAGCAACGAAACATTCACCAAATGCAGATTTTGCAAAAAATTAGATTTAAATTAATAAATTGAATATTGAATTCTACATTATCAATTGGATTTAGATCATTTAGTTCACTGAATGAGTTTCAAGAAACGGGAGAACGTCCATCTATGCTTTTCAGACGAGCACATCAAACACACCCAAAAAAAGAGCACATCAAAACAATAAGATGTTGTCCTTCGCGACATCTGTTAAAATTGGAACGATGCAGAGAAGATTAGCATGGCCCCTGCACGAATATATCAAGAAATGGTCACACTAAAAATAAAATAAAAAAAGAGATATTGAACTCCAATTGAAAGGGGACCCCCCCCCCCACCCCCACCCCCCTAACAAAAAAAAAAAAGAAAAGGACAAAGGTCACAAGAGTTCCCACTTTGAGAATTGGAGTTTGAGCAAAGCTTGGCATCTATCTGGCCAGAAAACACCACCAAAGCAGTGCTGTAAACCCAGTAGGATCGGGGGGCCCTCCCCCAACCGGAACCGGAGCGGTCCTACCGGCCGGTCGACCAGGCCGGCTCCCCCCCGGTTGGCCGTAGCACACGAAGCTACCAGCCGGGCCGCCCGGGTCCCGGGTGGCCAGCCCGTGCAACGACCAGCGAAGGTCCCAGCAGAAAAACAAATAATAATAAAAACTCCAAGCAATCTGAAAAAAAACTATGATATGCAGAAAAATAAACTGAACAACTTTTGCCTCAGGGTCACATCGAAATTCTTCACCAAATTGGTAAGGCACGCAAGTGGCATGCGGGAAGTCTTGGGCTCAATGATTCAATCCCCATTGGCCTCATGCACCTTCCTGGACAAGGTTGGCGCCCGCCACCTAGAGAGATATGCCGTTGGTCCCCCCGAGTGGCATTGAGCAGAGACTGCTGATGTTCATAGGGAGAGGGGACCGGAGGGGAGGCACAGTGACTGGCCCATAGAAAAAGTGCGGTCCTGATGCTACCGGCTGACCCCTGCCCTGTATCGCCCACCTGCTGTAGCAGGTATCCCAAGCTGCTGCTGGTGGGTGCAGCTCCCGCATGTTCCCTCGTTGGAGGCTTGAGCACGGATGTGGCTGCTACAGGGTTCCCCGTAATACTGTAATCATAGTATAATGACAATAAAAAAGGCCTGAAAGGCCGTCCTGTCCAGATTTGACAGGTAATTGAATTGGTTGGGCTTAAAGAATTAGCCTTTAAAAAAATAAAAAAAAAAAAAAAAAAATCTTCACCAAATTTAGAATAGAAAGTAAATTATATATATATATTTTTTTTTGGCCCCGCCGGGCAAGTGACCCCGTGCCACTCTGGTAGCCTAGGTAGCACATCAATTTTTTTTAATTTTTTTTTGAGCCCAGGGTGTTGTAGAGGCCAAGGACTAGACCCACGGTGATCGCTGGCAGTGGCAGCCGGTGCTTGTCCTGACAGGATAGGCCACCTTCCCTACCCTTCCCCACGTTAATGCTCCCAGTGCACCCCCTATCCCTACAATCCTACCTCAGTGTGACCAGCACTCAGGACCATCACCCTACGAGGATCGAGGGCAACTTGGACCAGACAGCAGTGACAAGCACCCCCTAACACTATCACCCCCAACCCCCTTTTCAAAGTTTTTGGGTGGGAAGTACCGTCCCTACCCTCCCACTAAACACCCCCAGCCTCCTTTTCAAAGTTTTTGGGCTGAAGGTTAACGTTTGCAGAAAGCCAGGTACGTTGTTGTCAATGTCTGCTGAAGCCCATGCTTGCTGAAACCCCACCACTAACACCTTCACCATAACCAAACCCCCCAAACGAAACTTCTCTGTTCAAAGTTTTCTTTGCGGATTCGGGGAGATCTCGGCGAGCGCAGTCCAACCATGTTTTCAAAAATATAAAAAAAAATAAAAAATGACCCACTTTTGGGCCCAACCAGAATTCCGGTTGGACCACCAGGGTCCCAACCAGCCCGGTTGGATCCGGCCCGGTCCAACCGGCCGGTTGCCGGCACAGCCCTGCACCAAAGGCATGTTTACCACAGCTGAGCTTTCAGACTGCCAGCCTCCAAGTGGGCACTGATTCTATCTTCTCATTTAGAACGGTGAGAACACCCACTGAAGTTTTGTTTTTCCTTCGCACAATTTTACAAATAAATAAAATGCAGTAACTACCACATCCAAGGAAGGAAGCAGGGGTGTATTACCCGACCCTGACATTACCTGGTTGATCGTGCCAGTAGTCATATGCTTGTCTCAAAGACTAAGAAGCACATTACCTGATGAGGCATCAAAATTGAAAATTAATAACACAAATTAAAAATAAAAGGTATGCAGTACTATGGACTGTACAAAGTATACCATGGCTACGCCAGACCCGGACCCGGACAGCTCATGTCCGGGACCGGACGCATGTCCGATCAGGTCCGGACGACTTCCGGACACATCCGGACCTTCGGACATGACCAGTAAGCAGGTCCGGAAATGTCCGGACCATTAAAAAAAAAAAAAAAAAAAAAAAAAACTGAAAAAATATTATGTTATGCACTACGCTACCAGAGTGGCCTGGGTCCACTTCCCCGGCAGGGCAAAAAAGAAATAAAAAAGAACAAAAAAATAAAAATTAATTTTGCATTTAAAATTTTATTTTAAATTTTGTAAAGAATTTTGATGTGACCCTGAGGCAAAAGTTGTTCAGTTTATTGTTCTGCATAACACAGTGCAAGGAATATGAATGGGAACGATATACAGAAAACCAAGTTGCGAAATCACACAGATGTCCAAGTAGTCATGTACAAGCAGAGAACGCAAATGCACCGAGATTCCATCCAGATAAGAGCAATACAATGAACTCACGAGCCAATGTCCAAGCCCTCAGGCCACACCAACACCGTATCCAATGTCGCTCCTACTCTGTCTGGCGCCCAGCACCCAGCCTACACTACTCGCCTATTCTACTACACCATCGTTCACGCAACAGGCTCACTTCGACTTTGAAGACCAAGGTACGTGACGTCAACACCATAGCTGACCTCCCTCATGCACCAGGTATGTATCTCGTCTCTTCCCTCATTGCCCCTGACTTCCCACAGTGTGCATTATCAACACCCAAAGACCACCATCGCCATCCAGACCTGCGTCCAGCAGCCCGGATGTGGCTGCCATGCGCCCACTGCCCAGCAGTGCACCTCACACCCCGGCGCCCGTGCGCGCGACCCAGCCGGCAACTTCGTGCAGATCACGAAGTTGCAACACAGCAGTGTGGCCGCATTGCCTGCCTAGGCCAGAATGACCTCCCCAGCGATGCTCACTTTCCTATATGGAAAGTGAGCTCAGCCTCTGCTGACTCTGGGCCTGGCTGGGCGAGCATCCAGTAGCTTCCAGTCGGGCCTCAATGCCTGCGCCCAGGCCCAGTTGCAGTTACAGGCCTGGGCCCTTTACAGTTGGGCACGTCCACGGGCCTCCACATGTTCGCTGTGATCCCATTGGCTCACGGCCACTATGTGCCGACAATGCTGCAATCTCATTGGTCCGTTGCTGTTGTATGATGTGTCGGCCTCTGAAAGCACACGCCCAGGGCCTTAACTGTACGGGGCCATGGGCTCAACTGCCCGTCGAGGCTGCAACTTCCGGAAAGAGCCTGGACAGGCTCACGTTACTCCGAAACCAACTGCCGTGCTGCAACTGTCTGATACCCACATATGGCAAAATGTAAAATCTTGGCCTCTTGTGAATATTCAGGCCCGCCTTCACTTAGGGCGGGCACAGGGCTTGCTGAGGGCCTCTGCCCAGAACATGTGCATATCTGATAAAGGCCCCGTGAGGGCTCAGTTCCCCACACGTATACGGCCCCTTTAGGGTGATCACACTGGCCTGTACCCAGGCCTTGGCACATATTGGCAGGCCCGCCTTCACTTAGGGCGGGCAAGGCCTTTCCCAGAACTGCCGAGGGGTCAAATCCTCACAATAGTTTTTTTTTTTTGATTTTTTGGATTTTTTTTTTTTTTTTTTTTTTTTTGGCTGGGACCTTCCCTAGTCCTTGCACAGCCGGGCCGCCCGGGAAAATAGGGTGATCCGGGCGGCCCGGCTGGTAGCCTAGGTTAGGCAGAATAACAAGGCAAACCACTTTTGCCTCAGAGTCATGTCAGAATTCCTATCCAAACTTGAGTTAAAAGTCAAAAACTATAAAAATATTAAAAAACTTTAAAAAAGCTAGGTTGTTTTTCCGGGCGCCCGGGCACCTGGATACACGCACCGGTGCCCGGCCGGGCATGACCCCCGGGCAGGGTTCCGGGCAGTCCCAGTGCMAAAAAAAAAAAAMAAAAAAAAAAACGAAAGTCAAAAAATTCCAGAAAAAAGAAAAATGTTGTGTAGAATTGCAATACAAACAACTTTTGGCTGAGTGTGAGGAACGAGCCCTCAAGGGGCCCTATCAGACATCATATGTTCTGGGCTAAGGCCCCAGCAAGCCAAGTGCCCGCCCTAAGTGAAGGCGGACCTGAATATTGGTCGAAGGCCAAAATTCGACATTTCCATATGTGGGTATTCAGGCTCTCGCAGCACGCCAGTTGGTTGGGTAGACGCGTGAGCCTCACTAAGCTGTGTCGTACAGTTGGCCCAGGCCTTGACAGTTGCACCTGGGCACATACACACAAAGCAGGGCCGATACATTGCGAAGCAGGCCATCGGCCTTTGGAAAAACAGTACTGCCGACGCACCTACATGGGAGCCCTGCACGGATGCAGCAAACAGCCCAAGTCCAGAGAATCAGGCCGTGCCGCCAACTGAAACGGACCAGGCCCTCAACTGTAGTCTTGGGCCTGGGCGCAGGGTCTGAGGCCCAACCGGAAGCTACTGGAAGCTTCCAGCCAGGCCACACGCACCCTCCAGGAGGCTGCCACTTCCATAAAAGAAGTGAGGCAGCCCAGGCCAGGCATTCTGGCCTGCGTAGGCAATGCGGAGGAAGTGCTGCTGCGCTACTGCTTGATGCTGC